AGCTGTTGTTCAGCATCTTAGCTGTAGAGGGCAGTGTCACTGGCCCTCATATGTGGGATCCGAACCGGGGCCCTCTGGCGTCCTAAGCCAGCTCTTAACCAATGCGCCACTCGGCCGGCCCTGTTACATAATATTTTGAATAATACTTTTAAAGGTATTTAACAGATAACAAAATATATTTTAAAACATGATTTTAAGTCAATTTATTTCAAAATCCTTGGGGATAGACAGGGGGTACCATGAGACCAAGATTTGTCATCACTGGAAGAGTGACTCTAGAAGTTCCCCAAACCTGGCAGCGGCAGAAATTATCACTGTGATCGTTAATTTTATGTATTAACTTGGCTAGGCTATGGCGCCGGGTTGTTTGGCCAAAACTGGTCTAGATGTTGCTATGAAGGTATTTTGTAGATGTGATTAACATTTAAATCAGTTGACCTTAGTAAAACAGGGTAGCCTCCATAATGCGGGGTGGGGTGGGGGGTGGGGCTCATCCAACCAGCTGAAGGCCTTAAGAGCAAAGACTGAGGTTTCCTGAAGAAGAAGCACTTCTCAAGGCTGTAACAGTTGAGCTGTAGCCCGAGCACCCAGACTTCCCGCTTGCCCTGCAAATTTCAGACTTGCCAGCCCCACCAGCACTTAAGCAAATTCCTTAAAATCTCTCTCTCCCTCTCTATATTATTTATATTTATATATATAATTTATATTTATAATTATATTTATACAGAGGGTGCCCAAAAAAATGTATACACATTTTAAGAAAGGAAAAAACTGTATTAAAATTGTAATAATATATACCAATAACAAAACATAAATACAAGTGATGTGTATACATTCTCTTAGTACCCCCAGTATTTATATTTATTTATATTTATATTTTTCATATTCATATTTATATATGTTCTGTCTCCTATTGGTTCTGTTTCTCTGGAGAACCCTGATGAACACAATTGCCAGTCTTTTTTTTTTTTTTGTATGTAAATTCTTTATTTATCCTTTTCAAATACTCACCTCTTTGTTATTACCTCAGCTGATTTGACTTTTTAAAAAAATTTTATTGGACAACAGCCATGGTCATTGGTTACACATTGCTTTCATGCTAGAATGGAATAGTTGACCCTTTTAGGGAGGGCACATTTTACAGTGGCCCATGCGGGGATCGAACTGGCAGCTTTGGTGTTATCAGTTCCACACTCTAACCAACTGAGCTAATCGGTCACCCCCACAATTGCCGGTCTTAAAGTTCTCATAAGTGAATGTCCTTTTGCATCCTGGATGGAATCAAAGAGTACAAGGACCCCGCCCAATGACTTATACAGTAGAATGCAGAGGCAGAAACAAAAAGGCACTCCATACCTTTGTAGTGCAGCCATAGTGCTTAAAAGGACAGTCTTGTTCCGCTTCAGGGCACACAGCAAGGTGTTCATCCACCTACGAAATGGACAGCCTCATGCTATAGAAATTCATCACCGATTCTCCAGGTGCCTGGTATAACTTCAGCAAGCAGGGAGCCCAGGGTGGCTCGGGAAGAAGGGCGGGAACAGAAGAAGGAAAAAGCCGTGCTAAGGCCTGGCAGAGAGAGTGCTCAGGTAAAGACAGAATCCTCAGGGAAAAGGGAAGGGAAGACAGGGACATGGCTACCATGGGTGTCATGTAAGCCTTGGACCGCTGCCTATGCAATTTTACCAAATCATCACAAAGACTAAAACTTTATCTTACATAAAATCTACTGAGAGCATTATTTACACTTACTTCAGTTCTTGGGATAATCTGCATACACTTGTTGGGACAAGATACTGGGTACTTGGGACACAAGTTTTTCTCATGATTCTGAAACAGAGAAAGTATGTTGAAACAAAGCCCCCCTTGCTTTCGAGGTTCCCTTTTATGGCCTCGGTATTTACACACATATCTCTTTGGGGATCTCTATGATGCAGCCTACCCTCTATAGGAAGGCATGGCCCAGTTCCAGAAAGGATTTTTAGATGGCTACTTTCTTGGTATAAAAGAATTCAACTCAGTTTTCCAATTATTCTAAAAGGTCAGATGGCACAGGACTCACAGAGGGGCAGGCTGTGGGAGTCATCAGTATCGCTCCTTTGGCACATGTAAAAGATACCCCACGCTCTCTTTTGATGCCCACACCCTCCCTCTTCATTTAGATCACAGCATCCTGGAGACAGACAGTATTGTCACCAATATATGACTCAGCACTAGCAGGACTCCTTGCACACTCACACTCAGCAGGTGCTCGAACAATATTTTTGCCACTGATGAACAAATAGAGTCCTACCAACAAAAAGGGGTTTTTAGTTTGTTACAGAACTCTCAGATCAAGTTATTTCTTAGGCCTATTTCTGTACAATAATAAATCCAAAAATGTGGCTCTGGTACCCCATCTGAGTCACTGTGACCCCTCAGGCAGAATTTAGCCCCATAAAGGCGATTCGTTTTCTCTTTTTACCTGTAGATTGATTACTACCACATCCTTTTTGCAATAAAGGCATTTTTCTTCTCGAAACTGGCAGTCTGCACTCAAATGCTCTTTCAGATCTTTCCGAAGGACTAGTTCCCGACAGTTCTCATTAGTACACTGCACGGCTTGAAATGAGCACTGCTGAAGGTGGTCCTGCAACAGATGACAACAGGCCAAGGGGGTGTTGACCAGGTCAGCGGGAAGGGAGGCAGCTGGAAGGCATCGTAAGGGAGGGAGGGCTGTGAGGGCAGCCTCTGCCTGCAGGCTTTCAGTGGGGGCCGCCCCTGCCCCTGCTGAGGAGAGGGCATGGAGAGAGCTGCTTGGACCCTGGACCCAGCCTTGCTTGGTGGGAGCTAGGATGACAGGGGAGAATGGGTGAAGAAGGAAGTATGCCGAGTTTCTTTCAGACTGTCTAGGAACGTGCTCATGTTCTCACGGTAGCTCTTGAATATTTTCCTTAGGCTTGCCAATGAATTTACCAGTTCTTCAAGGATATTTGTTATTTCTTTTGTGAACTCTCCACCCCCATCCCCAGGACCACGTACTAATCTCTGCACAGCAGGTGGTAAAAGCCAGACAGAGGGGGAAGAGGGAAGAAGACAAGGGCCTATCCTAAGTAAGGGAAGGAAGGGAAGGGGTTCAAGGAAGAAAAGGGGTCCCAGAAGTGGCCAAGCAAAGGAGGTAGGGAAAATATAGGATCACAGGCCCAAGAGAAGCTGGGAATGACCAGTCTTGTAAAGTCAGGACACGTTTTTAACCAGAATATTAGAGAATAATGACATGGACAGTGTTCATTCCAGTGGTCTTCACATTGGAGACATCTAAAAGCAGGCACAGCTTAATAAACATGTTTGGATTACTGCAAATTACTGTGATGCTGATAAGTTCTCAAAATCCTACTGAGCTTGTCTCCCTGTAA